AGAGGAGAGGAGAGGAGAGGAGAGGAGAGGAGAGGAGAGGAGAGGAGAGGAGAGGAGAGGAGAGGTTCTGTTGATTTAACTGTCTGTACTGGGAATGTATGCTTTGCTGACAGAGAAAACCAGTTTGATGTCTATTCATCATGGAGAGGAGATCATTTTAGTAATCTGGCCTATCAAGATAAGACTTTAGAGTTTCTGCAGGAGACTGATAAGGAATGTGTAAGGGGAAAAAATCCAGCTGTCTAGGGGCAGGGTATGTGTCTGTAGTGGGGGTGTTCCTAGACATATTCTGTGGTGGACTTGCCTTGCTAAGAGTAGTAAACAATCTGCTTGATTGCCTTAGTGCCTGTCTTGATTCTCTTCTTTCTGCCCATTCTGGGAGATGTATGTTCCCTGAGGACTCAAGACTCAAATCCATAGCCACAAATCCACAGGTTTTAAAAGCAGCTTGGGGCTCTATATGCTGGTGTATTCAGGGGCATGAGATTAAATGACTTTTTTAAAGTGCCTATTTTTAAAAATATATTAAGGCTGCTTCTACACTACCAGCTCTTCCAGCTGAATTGTCTGGCCAGTCAACCTCATCTTTCTGATGTATCTTAAAAGCATTCATGGACATAGATTACAAGAAAAATACCCCAAAAAGCAGTCACAGCAACCCTAAAATGTTTCAAATTGAGCCCTTGAGATCAAGAGTCTTATTGACAGCCCCAGCCCTAGAGTTTTGCCTTACTTCAGAGAGACAGGATAAAAGGAAACATAAATGTCAGGGTAAGTCAAGCTTTGAGGCAGTATTTATGAAAAACTCCTGCCTAACTTGAACCTCCAGTTTTCAAGAAAACTGTCTTTGGTTTGATTTATCTTAACAGCACCACACAGAGGGCTGCTGGAAATATTTAACTGATGAATTTATGCTAAATAGCAGAGAAACTCTTTTTTCTACTATTATTTCAGTAGTATTTTTAGTTCTCTGAGTTAAAAAAATTTACTTTAGCAACTTACAGCTGTACTATTGAAGGACTTAGAGAACATACTTGCTAACCAGAAACACATAATCAGTGTATGTCTGTTTTAGTTGAGGAGCCTGTACTTCTGGGGAATATTTGAGATTAATAGAAGCCACTACTTCAGAATTACCAAACTAGCAGTTTTAATTACTTGTTAGATGTAAGAGAAACAAGGTGACATTATTTTCTGCAGATGACAGTGTGTCCATGTCAGAATCAGAGGTCTATGTCCCTACAACAAGTGTAGTGTCCATCCAGGTTGTGTCAGGCATGGTTAATTCATCCTCCATACTTTCATTGGCATTCTGTCTTGTTTTCATTTTTTTTCACTTACATTAGTCTTTAGTCTGAAAGTAGAATTATTTTGGTTATAAAGGCAAAATTTGTGTATTTTTGTTTGCATGTAACCTTAAGTGAATTTAAATTAATTTCAAGGAGGTGATAAGGGTAACAGATCAATAGATAATAGATAGACAGAAAGATATAAAGACAGATGTGTCTGTTTTGTGTTTTCTGTATCTGCCCAGCTATTCCATTCAAACTTGACAGGTAAACTTGTGCTGCTGAACTTACCTGCCATGACTTTCTCAGTTCTAAACCTAAGAGCTGGGGAACACCTGTTTGCATTCCACATGTCTGTGCAGAAATGTGGCCTTTGAGATTGGGCTGTCCTGTGCCAAGCACAGTGGCTGGGCATGTTCACCAGATAGCAGCTGGCTGCTCTTCTGTGCTTGAAAATTTGGGAAAGATGTTTGCAGCATAGCTCTGGAGGAAGAGCCAGAGCAGGCAGCTTCCTTCAGTGTTGAGTTATTTCAGTTCCCTTTCAAGTGGTGGGAATATTTCCCACCCATGCAGGCTGTGCCAGCACCAAGTGCTCTTGGCAAGTCCAATCTGCCAAGCTCACTCTCTCTGTAGGGAACTTTCAACTGGCAGCTGGCTTTTTTCCATTCAATCCCACAGAAACCACTGCAAAGACTCTCATGAGGACCAGATTCTTCCTTCTGAAATATCAGTACAGGCAGTAAAATATTTCAGGTCATGGTCAGCTGGTCAGAGTTCCTGTGGTTAACTAGGTCTGATAGCTCCACTCAAGGTGCTTTTAGGCATTGCAATTTCCTCGTGAGAGTTTAGGTCTTTCCAGTAAGTGTAAAGTTTTTTAAAGCTGGAATTTAGTGCTGTGAAGTCTTGAACTGAGGGAATACATAGGTTGTGTTCTGGTTAGCTGTAAATCAATGTATCAGAGCATGGCAATCCTGCTGTGATCTGAAGGCAGAGTTAATATTGTCTGCTCTTGGCGTTTCTCAGCTCCAGGGCTGAGCACTGCTGTCTGTCAGGGTTTGCCAAATACAGTCACCAAGAGAAAATCAATGCTAATCAATGTCTACAGACAGGGTTGGAGGCAGAACACCTCCCTGGAGACTTGCTGACTGCAGGCTGTCATCCTTCAGCTTTTCATTAAGGTTTTAGGCTACCTGAGAGCCTGTCTTTCAAGGTGCAGAGTAGGGAATTTCAGAAAAAGTGAGGGAACTTCCCAAGCTCTAAGGTACTGTGCCTCCAGCCATCTACAGAAAGGTGTATGCATGGGAAACCTCTGGGCCCTGTGCTACTGAGCTGGCCAGCTCTCTGCATGGCTGGCCAGCATAAAAGTCAGTGACTTAATTTGAGTCCCAGTGTAGTCCATGCTGAGATCCACAGGAGTCTCACTGACTTCTTCCTGCCCTTCATCCTGAACCTCATCTGTGCTGTTCTGTGACATTGACACTCAGCAGGACAGATGTACCCAGGAAAGGCTGGCTGCTCTTGGCCTCTCTTTCTGACTCTTGGTGCTGAGGTGTCTCTTCTCCAAAAGAAGTTTATCACACGGTCTTCTCTTGTGCTCTGCTGGGATTGCAATCCAAGGCAGTGAAACAAACTGTAGAGGGATGGGATATGCATTTGTGTGCACAGATGGAAAGGGAGTGGAATGAGAATACATTGGGATGAGGCTCTGTTCCTTACAGAGAAGAATTGGACCAACTCAGTGTGAAAAGAAAATACTATTCATGGATTGCAGGGGTAACAAAAGTGAATAAATTCAACCACATATAGGTATTGACTGGGCACGGGGCAATCTCTCTAATTTCTGTAACCCAAGTACTTTTCTGAGCTGCTTCTTCCACCCACCTTTTCCCATCTGATTCTCTCAGCACCTGCTGTATTAAAAATACAATTACACCCTTGAAAAGTGGTGGGTTTGGACTCTGTCACTGTGCCAATGACCTTTAGATTTAAGACTGGCTCCCAAGTGACCCCTGCCCCACAGGTCAGTAGTTAAGTCGTCCATTCTTTCCACCTCCTTTCATCACCCAGCCTTCAAAGAACAAAAGTCAGATCTGCCTTGCTCACACTACTTTAGCCATGCTCACTGCATATCATTCCCTAGCAGCAAAGAAATTTGTGGGAGCTGGTTAGAAATGGTTCATGAATCATATACCTGTGAAACACGTTGATGCTGCACCTTTACTTTTTGTTTAGAACCAGGTGCTAGGATGGATCTTAGTGTCCTGAAACAGCTCTGTTTTGCCATTCAATGCAGGCTGTCCCAGGAATCCTGTGAGTCCCCCTCTGTGATGCCCATTGTACCTTCATTCCCCCTGATTCAGACAAGGTACAGCAAATAAGGCTGCCAAGTACAAGCCTACCACAGTGTCTTCCTCAGCGTGGGCAATACTCCAGAAACACACATGGAATCTCAATGTGCATTGTCTAGTGCCAGACACAGCATGCTCACATCCACCAGGATTTGAATCCACAGAATATCAAGCCAAACCCCAGACTGCAGACCTGGTCTTCCTCTTACCACAGGCTGGCCATCACTGGGATTTGTGCACAAGACTACAGCATCCTTTCAAATACATTTGCAACTCATTCCTTTCCTTACCCAGCCCAAATATCCAATTGCAATTACATTCCACAATTCCACACAGCCACAACAGGGATATTGAGAAAGTGGACGTGATAGATGTCAGTTCCCTTAGGCTCTGTGACAGGTGAACAGTGGTAGAATTTGTTTCCTGCCTCTGGAGTAAGTAATCCTCATTTGAGCTGAAATGTGGAGCTGTATTGTTCCACTGATCCTGTTAGAAATTCCAAATAAAGGAGTGTCTCACTGAGATTTCTGCATCACAAATTCACAGGAGCACACTTCACACCCTCTGTGCAGGTTAGGACTACCATGGGTTGGAGCAAACCATGAATCTTTTAACTTTCCAGCACTCCTTTTTTGTACCAGGAGATACTAAGGATGCTTCTAGAAAATATCACCTTAGCTGGTCTTCCTTGCAGTATTGACAGACATAGCTTCACAAAAAAAAAGAAATTATAAAAGTAAAAAAAATGCTGTTCATACAACTCTATTCAGCACTGCTAGTTACAACCAGGGACAGTAGGGCCCTTGGGACTAGGGATATTTTTGTCATTTGTACTAAGGTTTTGCCACTGCAACAACATATCTTGAGACATTTTTAGCCAATTCTAAATAACTTGGTACGTCTCCATGGTACAGGTCTCATTATGTCACAGCACTGTGTTGGCATGGCTGTACCATGCCACTTCCAGAGGAGGGATTGCCACATGATCCTCAGCAGACAAACTGATTTGACATCACCTGCTGGAAGCAGAGCACTCTCTCTAAGGTGACATTGCCTTGTTTAGTATAAATACATACTGGAGACCACATATAAATGCATTTTGAACTTCACAGTTGCTGATTTCTTGACTTTTGTATATAATTCCTTGAGACAATGCTTTCCTGGCATACATTTTGTGCAGAAATTCCTTTCTTGGTGTTCATAGAACACTCTCACTGGATGTGAGACATCCAGTTAATCATCAAACTGAAACTGTCCCTGTGATCCAGTGATTTCCCATCTCTTCCCCACAGCTCCTGCATCTGTCACCCTCTCTCAGCCTCAGATTCAGTTGGAGATTGGATTGTTCCCACCAGATGTTAGCTAGAAAGAGTAGCTTTACATCCTAAGCTCCCCTCAACTTTGAATTATTTTTTATATCCAAACCTGGATTCCTGTTTGAATCTTTTTGTTATGCCTATCTGAATATCTCCAGATAACAATAGACTCCAAAATAATTCTTTAGAGTGTCATATGTTTTTAAAATGAAGTTGATTAAAATATTTTGAATTGTGAGTCTTTAGAAGAGATAAATAGCAACATTGTGCAAGGAAATTCTAGTTATTTGTCTTTTTCAAGAGCTGGTCAAAATCTTCTTAGCACAGATGGAAATACAATATGAACTAAAAGTGTAAGAAATTGTAGTAAACAAAGAATTCCTTCATTATTCATCATCTGAAAATGTTTTTTCTACAACCAAGACTCTTGCATAAGAGACAGCAGAAAAATCCTCCGCTGGAAATCACATCATAAGGTCTTTGAGATCCTCTACCAAGTAGTTTGCAAATGTAAAATGAAATTTTAGAGAAGTTTAGAGCAACAAAGATTAGTTTCTTAAATAATTTATTTGGAATATATTAGGTGTTAAATAACATATAGCACAAAGTGTTATCAGTTGCACTGTATTTGTTCATGATGACATAGATAAGAAATCCCCAAAACACAAAGAAGAAACTTGACCAAAAAAAAGAAATCTTTGGTAGAGAGATCTAGGGAAATACTTGCTGAATGTGACAGTAGGGAGCCCCTAAACTGAAAGGAGATCAAAGAAAATGGTGATATGAACTGAAGCAATAACAAGATGGGAAAGTTTTTAGCATAGAAGATACAAGCATATTATGCTACAAAATTGCCAGCTTTTCTTTCCCCAGTATGACAGCTGCTCACAAGATGTTTTTCCTCACCTTGGTGATATGCGTTTCCGAGGATAACAAGTGACTGATAGACCCAGCAGCACCACCACATCTCTGCAGGAAGCGCTCCGATTTGCTTGGACTAATTTGTCCTGCTGGAACGCCAGCAAGCCAGCAGATAGATGGGAGGAGAATGTGGCTCATTACCTTCAAGGTGCCATACAGAAGAGGCTGTGGCTCCATTTAGTCACATTAATGTGGGCAGAGGTGAGGAGAAACAAAGGACTCTTGGTGTCTTTCCACTCAGCTGCTCCCCAGGGCCGTCCTGACAGATCACAAACCCAGGGATAAGCAAACTATTAGCAGTGTTCAGAAAGGAAACTAAATCAACATGAATTCTTTCCACTTTTTTATTTTCTTTCTTCCTTTTGGTCAAAATCTGTTCACTGGCATGCCTGTACCTTCCAGCACCAGTGCTGGATGGGGTGAGCTGAGATATTGTCAGACCTTGGCTTTTGTCAATGCTGAGGACAGCTCAACATCCCCATAGCAGGAGCCAGCCCTGGCTTCTTTGGTGCACCTGGTGCTTGGTGAGGCTTTAAAAGGCAGCTCAGCTTCAGGTGCCAAATCCCCTCATGCAGAAAGGCCGTGCATGCTGCATGCACAAACCCTAGTTCTGCTTTCTGAAAGCACCTCCTTGTCTCATGAACAAACAGAAACAGCCCAGGGACATGCCTTGGACTACAGGAGCTACATTTCTCCACCAGTCATGAGCAATTGTCTTTTCTAAGCTTTGACATGTACCTTGGTCCACATGAAAATCAAGAGGCACTTGTGTCAGTGGGAGCAGGATCTCACCAGAAATCTATTCTACTTAAACCTGACATCATTTTTTCTGCTGTTTTGGGTTTCTCATAAGTCATATGAGCAGGCCAGGCCTTGGCTGGCACAGGTTATAACTCAAGTCAGGAAATTAGATTGGATGTTTTTGTGGGCAACAATAGTCCACAGTGACCACTTTCATGCAGCTTATCATGTAAACACCTACAGCGTGATGTTTCATACAGGGAAGTGATTCACAAATGGAAGATATTTACAACAATTTCTTTGTACTTGCTCCATTGGCCCATTTGGGACAGTATCCAGGTAGGAAAACCTCAGCTAGGGCAGGTGAAAGCAGGCAGTTTAAGGGCAGTCATATGGCCTGTGCATGCTATGTAGACATAGCTTTGTCCACAAAGGTTTTCACAGTGCTTCACTGAGGCCTTTGTCCCAGGACTTCCTTCCCAAAGAGGACCTCCTCCATTACTACACCTCCTCCAGAAGAACAAGGCATTGAGTCACCAACCAATCTCTTTGATGGGCTTTTAAGGCAGCTGGGGTATAGCTGACCATTTTCCTTCAGGTTCACGCTGTCACTGCTATGGAGGAGATTTACTTTGCCTAATGAACACACTGAAACTCATCTATGACTATGCATTTTGTCATTTTAAATTGTTGCTTTTTGTTTTAACCCAACATTTAATTTTGTTTAATGTGCTTTGCTCTGACATAAGGGATCCCTCCTGTCTGATGAAGAAATATGTAGCCAGGTTCAAGGGCTAGGACTTAAATTAAAAAAAAAAAAAAAAAGAATCGAGCTAGAAATAAGATTCACAAGTTCAAGACTGAGTGCAATTAGCCCCTAGAACAGCTCATGGAGGACTGTGCCAAATACCTCATCTCTCAAAATCTTTCACTACTGAGGCCAGATGTCTGTTGTGGACAAATTTTGTGGTGCTGTCATAATTTTTTATCTCAGTAGTGTTTCCTTGAAATAGAATGGGAGAATAACTTCTTCAGAAACACTGAAGGAATTTCTATGCCCTCATTTATGGAGGAGATCTGGACAGAAGACTCTTCTGGCTTGGACTCTGTCATGACAGCAGCAAGTCTTTCCAAGCTCCCAGAGACCACAAGTTTTCCATCTGGACTTCCAGGTTTTTGCACGACCAAGGATTTCCTATCCTAGTAAATAAAAATGCAAATTAAATAGCAATAAATATAAATAGATAATCACAATATGCAAAAGAGCAACCCACAATTCTGCCAGGAGAGAGGGACTATCACAATAACACCGAGACTGCACATCTCACTGTCTGCTAGGGGGATGATGCCTCTGACCAACACTCCACTATATTGCCGCTCATGCCAGGACAGGAGACACCACAGTTTTCGATCAGTGCCAGCTCTTCCATGCTCTGCAAGTGTGGGGCTTGCTGGAAGAATCCCAGGATGCTGCCCCGAGCTGCCACTGCTGTCTGCTGCAGGCCTGGCTCTCCCAGGACCTTGACGAGGAAGTTGATGTATCTCATGGCCAAGCGGAGCGTCTCGTTCTTGCTCAGTTTTTTGTCTGGTGGGTGGGTGGGAATGAGCTTCCTCAGTTTGGCAAAGGCACTGTTGACATTTTGCTGCCTCCACCTCTCCCTGGTATTGGTGAAGATCTTTCTTGTCATTCTTAAGGTGCTGCAAAGCAAAGGAGATGGTAAGTGAATGCTGGATACCCCTGGTTTTCACACAGGCTGCTTTTTTAGGGCTGCCGTAAACCTCTGGGCCAGTGGCAAGAACTGAGAGGTGATGCTAGGCTTCTAATTTTTACCCTCTCTGGCTGGTGTTCTTGTCCTCCATGTCCTTCACAGATTCACCCTAAAGTCACTGGATCTCTAAGTAGAGTTCAGTAAGAACTTCACAAAGGAGGTAAAGGAGTTTAATTTCCTTATACAAGAATTTAGTGCTGCTGCAAGCCCATCTTCTCCAGGCTCCTCAGAGTTCCCCTGCAACAGAATTCCAAACAGATAATGCATTTGTCATCCCACCAGGCTGTGTGAGAGCCACACAGGCACTTTTTATGGGGGAAAGCAGAACACATGCCCGCTTTCCCAGCCTTATTTCATACCTCCTTGTAGTCTGCACCCAGCTGGCCCAAGCTGGGTGATTCCTGGCTGGAACTAAGCCAGGTGGACTTCACCATGGGCCTTCAGTGAGCACTCAGCCCACACAGCAGACATTTATGACTGTGGTTATTTCTCCAGAGCTGCACCACTCTGGTTGTCTGCCCAGCCCACAGTGGCTGCTCACTGCTGGTTATCAGACACTTTTCACTTTCAGTGTAAAGGCTTCTCCTTTAGCCTCTGAGAAATGCCAAGACTTAAGCCACAACTGTTGTAACTGCATGAGGGAAACTGTGATTCCCACAAAGCATGTTGGCATCCCAGACAAAACCTCTCCCCAGTTATTCCCTGTCCATCCTCACAGAGCCAAGCAAAGGGAGCCCCATGCCCACAGCAGACCTGGCAAAAAAGAGTACTGAGGCATGGGGTGCACAGTGATTTTAAATGCCATTTACCAGAAAGACTGCCAAAAGTTCTTTGTATTGCCCTAACCTTTCTCCGATCACCATGGGAAAGCGCCTTCCTTTCTCTCCCACAACCCTGGAGGAGAGAGACTCCTCCATTTCTGAAGCAGCTCTTTATGCCAATGGCATGCAGACAGCTGGAGCACGGAAAAGCTTTCCACAGCCAAGAGACTAAAGGATAAATGTTTCCTTACCCTCCTTATGCATGTGAAAGCCTCACCTTTTTATACCCACAGGCAAACCCTTCTTTCTGTAGTCCTCTAAAGGGGAGTGGGGAGCAGAGGGAATAGCATCCTTCATCCCCAGGAAGAGGAAATTTGGGGATGACTGCCCGGCTGTGACCCTGTTTCCAGAAGCAGCCTTACACCATGTAAGACACTCGGGGTTCACCAAAACACATGGTAAAAGACCAAGGGAATAAAGAAACACAAATGTGACTTACAGTTTAATTGAGATGCCCTGTCAGGGAGCTAAGGCAGGGAAATCCCTGCCCGGCTCCTTCAAGTTCCAGTCCAGCACACATTACCAGCTGACAGGGGAGCACAGCTGCAGCACTATGAATAGGGTCACAGCTGTGTTCAGAGACCTCTGGTCAGGGATGCAGCCACTACAGGCTGTACACTGTAAGTAGCTGCTCATGCTGACAGTACCTCACAGGCTCCGCTTGGCCATTACACTGTTAACACATTTCTATTTTGGTAGAGGTCTGAAATTACTGTCATACCTTTAGGGGATGAGAAAATTGTCTCATCAAAATGGTCTTGTTTCATGAAAGGCTCCTTTAAAAAACAAACCCTTACATTTCAGGTTGCTGAGAGTTTTTCTTGTCTTTTGTAGACTTAATCCAAATGGGGATTATATCTCTCTTCTTTTTTTTTTCCTTTTTTTTTTTTTTTTTTTTTTTTTTTTTTTTTT